AGACGCACAAAGACACACACATAGACACAGACACACACACACATAGACACAGACACACACACACACAGACACACACACAGAGACTCACACACTCACACATAAACACAGACGCACACAGACACACACACACACACACACAGACTCTCACACACACACACAGACGCACACAGACACACACTCACACACTGACACACAGACGGACACACACACACACACACGCCCACACACACACAGACACAGACACAGAGACTCACACACATACGTGTTTTCATTACATATAAGGACATATAACGGAAATAGGACAAATGGGGACGTGCCTTTCCAAAGGTTCTACAGGTCTGAGAATCCCAGAGTTTCCTATCCATGCTTTCAGGAAAGCATTCGTCTGTTGAGATTTTAGCTAGAGCAACATTTTGATCACATCTGATTTTAATGCAACATATGGGGACATTATCTGGTTTATATAACTTATGAGGGCTATACCCTTTCATACAGTTATTTCATGTCTAAGTCTTAGAGCCCTGAGATCTGGGTGATGGGCATTATCTCCTGGGCTCGATCCGCCTCCTCAAAGGAGGACTGGACACAACCAAGTCCTATTGGCCAGTTACCTCTGGGCAGGAACAGGCCAGGTCCTAATTCATGCAGATGACAGGAATGTGGTGACAAATGGTGTGTGTGTGTGTGTGTTGACCTAAAGGTGGATCTAATGCAACAGAGAAAGAAAAAGAGAGAAAGAGAGTCTGTGGACACAGCCAGAGACTTTATCAAAAAGTAGAGTCCTAAAAAGAATAAAACAATCAGTAATTAACATAGATCATGTTATAACATACTATGCTAAAACGAGTAATTCTAGCCAAATTCTAACAAGACAGAAGAATTCAAATTTCCTCCGAATACGATCCGTGCACGGAAGTAATCCCCCAGAGGATGGAAAACAAAAACAAAACAAAAAAAATTGAAAAACTCAGCCACTCCAACACTATCCCAGTCAAAAAGACAGAACAAGCTTTTGGAGGAACATCGTGCAAGACAGTTCTTCTAAGGTGAGGAATTCAAAGCATCCAGCAATGTGTACAGCGTCAAGCAAAAAAAAAGGGGGGGGGGGGGGGGGGGGATGCCAATCTCCCTGCTGTTTTGTCGTGCTG